AACCCTGGACTGCTCTATTTGGTCTGATTCACAATCGTTCCCGGAAGTCTTGCAATGTTGCACCTCTGGGTTTAGAAACTCTGTAAAAAAGACGACTAACAACAGTAGTTCCGATGTTTTTATTTTCCATCACTGGTTATTTGGACGTATCAGGATTGGGTGAAGGTGGTGCTTAAAGTGGGGGCGGGATTTGAAGCGTTCTTATTATTGCAGCGTTCAAGTGGTAATCGGAACTTGGAAACTCTGAAATTTCTGATCTGGTAACTGGTTGTAGTTATGTGCCACGTTCAACCAGTTAGCAAGTCGGACATTTCTGAGTTTCCTAGTTCCGACTAGCACGAGAACTGGTTGGCTTTGGATGAGAGTTTCTGTTTTGGGGGTGGAGACTTTGCTAGTCTTGTTAGTATCTTTTCGCATACAATCTCAGTTTCCACTAGTTACCACAGCCACAAAGTCCAAATAGTCTATATTGTAAAAATTCATGTAAGAAAATAGCTTTTTGGTCTTAGTTTAAGGTTAGGGTTAGGCAAGGTTAGCATTGTGGTTAAGGTTATGGTTAGGGTTAGGTTAAAAATCACATTTTAAGAAGATACATTTTAAAAATAGGTGGGAGCGGGAAAAATGGCGGAAGCGGGTGTTCTGTTTGAATCAGATGGCGTGTTGAGTGGAGATTAGAGTGAGAAGAATTGGATTACAGTGGCGAATGCAAAGGAAATAAAATAAGTTAAGGGGTGGTGGAATCTAGTAAAGGAGCGTGCTCTGCGATTCAAGAAGATATCGGATTGGAATGTGTCGTGTGTGGATCTTTGAAGCAGGGCGCCTATCAAGGGTGTTGTCTCTGGGATGGCACTAGAAGTAAAAGCAAAGGATATATGTGAAAAATTGGTTCAAGTGGTTGGTGCACACCGACTGACCTGCATGGTGGATGGAGTAAGCCCACTCCAGCCATTCTATTGTTTTTTGATGAAGTGTATCTCCCTTCTCATGGGTATTTGGGTTTTATGAGATACCCTGTGAGAGCCTTCGTGCCCAAACCCATGCAGTGTGATAAATGCAAAATATTTGGTAATGTGTCAAGTGTATGTAGATGTGAGGGGTATCGTGTGCCAGCTGAGCCTAAATGCTGCAATTGTGGTAATGAACATGCACCCGAATTTCTGAAGTGTCCTGTTAGGGTGAAGGAGGCGGAGGTGGTAAGAATAAGGGCTGTCCAGCATGTCTCCTATCCGGAGGTGGTGAGAAGAGTGGAAGAAAGGAGTGAAGTTGAAGAAATAATGGTAGTAGGAGTAGAGACAGATAATATTCCTTGTCAACAGAGGGATCCTGACATGTTGCATGTTAAGAAGATGGTCAAACAGAGAGGAAATCAGAGAAAATAGGCATCATGGTGATTTTACAGCAGATGCATTACAAGGAATCCTGTCGATGAATGCTCCTTCCTCACCAGCACCTGAGCCTGTTTAGGGATGTAATTTGAACTGTGACTGAAGGAGTGAGATGGTTCTGTTCCTGCGAAGGAATATTTTTTGTTTCAATACCCCGTACAGTAGGTGGCGGCAATACACCAATAAGTGAAGTATGCCATAAAGAAGAAGAAGAAGAAGAAGAAGAAGAAGAAGAAGAAGAAGAAGAAATAGGCAGAGTTTATGATTTGGGGCTGACATCTCCCCCAATGTAAAGTGAACATTCCTGTTATATGGTTAGCTCAACGCATTATCAGGGAAATTAATTAAATGAAAATGCACTCTGTGATGTAATTATGTTGATTCAGCGGTATGTGCATACATTTACCAATTCCCACAATAATCGAGCGTCTGATGCAATTACGCAACATTTATGTTCTGGGTTTTTGAGATTTGTGTGCGTGTCTGTGTGTTTGTAGTACAGTAGTATTGTACAGTATGCCAAGTGGCACCTAGGACCATGGACAATCTGTAAAATCTGGACATTGGCATTGTCTTTCTACCATGGCCCTGATAAGTATAAATAAGACCAGGCAGAAGGAATAGAGGAAGCCAATGACTTAGCACTTCTCCAAGGCCTCCTGCACTGCTTTGTAAAATTTGAGATGGAGAAACAGAATACAGAAGTAGCCATGATTTATAGTGCATAGTAAACCCCTTGTGGTTTTTAAAGAAGGATGGAATCCATGTGTTCCTACACTCACTGATGAAGATGATACAGCATTCTTGCCATATGTTTGTGTTTTTTAAATTTGATTATGCTACCTTAGTGAGTTATTTTGTTTATTCACCTTAGTGAAATATACATTCATGCTCATCCTAGTGATCTTAGCAGCATCATTCTCCATTATCCGAAAGTAACTGACAAAATGGCAACATACAGTTGAAGTCGGAGGTTTACATACACTTAGGTTGTAGTCATTAAAACTTGTTTTTCAACCACTCCACAAATTTCTTGTTAACAAACTATAGTTTTGGCAAGTAGGTTAGGACATCTACTTTGTGCATGACACAAGTAATTTTTCCAACAATTGTTTACAGACATATTATTTCACTTATAATTCACTGTATCACAATTCCAGTGGGTCAGAAGTTTACAAACACTAAGTTGACTGTGCCTTTAAACAGCTTGTAAAATTCCAGAAAATTATGTCATGGCTTTAGAAGCTTCTGATAGGCTAATTGACATCATTTGAGTCAATTGGAGGTGTACCTGTGGATGTATTTCAAGGCCTACCTTCAAACTCAGTGCCTCTTTGCTTGACATCATGGGAAAATCAAAATAAATCAGCTAATATCTCAGAAAACAAATTGTAGACCTCCACAAGTCTGGTTCATCCTTGGGAGCAATTTTCAAACGCCTGAAGGTACCACGTTCATCTGTACAAACAATAGTACGCAAGTATAAACACCATGGGACCATGCAGCCATCATACCGCTCAGGAAGGAGACACGTTCTGTCTCCTAGAGATGAACGTACTTTGGTGCGAAAAGTGCAAATCAATCCCAGAACAACAGCAAAGGACCTTGTGAAGATGCTGGAGGAAACAGGTACAAAAGTATCTATATCCACAGTAAAACGAGTCCTATATCGACATAACCTGAAAGGCCGCTCAGCAAGGAAGAAGCCACTGCTCCAAAACCACCATAAAAAAGCCAGACTACGGTTTGCAACTGCACATGGGGACAAAGATCGTACTTTTTGGAGAAATGTCCTCTGGTCTGATGAAACAAAAATATAACTGTTTGGCCATAATGACCATCGTTATGTTTGGAGGAAAAAGGGGAACGCTTGCAAGCCAAAGAACACCATCCCAACCGTGAAGCACGGGGGTGGCAGCATCATGCTGTGGGGGTGCTTTGCTGCAGGAGGGACTGGTGCACTTCACAAAATAGATGGCATCATGAGGAAGGGAAATTATGTGGATATATTGAAGCAACATCTCAAGTCATCAGTCAGGAAGTTAAAGCTTGATCGCAAATGGGTCTTCCAAATGGACAATGACCCCAAGCATACTTCCAAAGTTGTGGCAAAATGGCTTAAGGACAACAAAGTCAAGGTATTGGAGTGGCCATCACAAAGCCCTGACCTCAATCCTATAGAAAATGTGTGGGCAGAACTGAAAAAGGGTGTGCGAGCAAGGAGGCCTACAAACCTGACTCAGTTACACCAGCTCTGCCAGGAGGAATGGGCCAAAATTCACCCAATTTATTGTGTGAAGCTTGTGGAATGTTACCCAAAATGTTTGACCCAAGTTAAATAATTTAAAGGCAATGCTTCCAAATACTAATTGAACGTATGTAAACTTCTGACCCACTGGGAATGTGATGAAAGAAATAAAAGCTGAAATAAATTATTCTCTCTACTATTATTCTGACATTTCACATTCTTAAAATAAAGTGGTGATCCTAACTGACCTAAAACAGGGAATTTTTACTAGGATTAAATGTCAGGAATTGTGAAAAACTGAGTTTAAATGTATTTGGCTAAGGTGTATGTAAACTATCGACTTCAACTGTAGCTAAAGAAAGCAGAAAACCTATGTTTGTTGTACAGTATTGAGCAATATTCTGTGACAGTGAGTGATCATGGAGTTGGTGACATAATTTGGCAGATTTCTATTAACTACACACCATAAGTGTCCGAAATGGAGCTGGGCCTAGTTTGTTCAGTAAGGCAGCCAAGTGGCTGTTACTCAGAAGAATGTTATGTTTTTTTCTTTAGCACACTGTTTAGTAAAGTAAACATTCCTGTTATATGGTTAGGTCAAGGCATTATCAGGGAAATGAATTATTCAAATGAAAATGCACTCTGTGATGTAATTACGTTGATTCAGCGGTATGTGCATACATTTACCAATTCCCCCGATAACTTGTAATATAATGTATCCCCAAATTCCCCACTCAACCCTAATTGTCTCTGTTTCTTCATCTTCATTGCAGAGCTGAAAAAACTGAAGTATTAAGTGAAGACTTGCTACAGGTAAGACATGAGTCAAAATTACATTTTGTGTGTGTGTGTGTGCATGTGTGTGGTGTGTGCTTATAAAAGCCTAATATAGGTCAAGGATATGCCTGTTTGCTATATGTGTGTGAACTGCAAGTAGGTACATACCTCTTTCCTGAATGCGAAACTCTAACCCTAAAACAGAGTATGCTATGTGTGAAATGGGTGTCGAATTACCCAAGAAAAAATTAATCAGCTATGGGAGACAAAGTCTGAACATTCCCTCTGATTTACTGAGGGAGCCTGGTTGCCGTCTCTGTTCATCTATTTCATTCCAGTCCTTGCCACTCCTGTCGTTTGGCAAATGACAGGATTGGAATGTTATGTTAGCTAAAAAGACTGGTACCCAGACTAGGCTACTGGCTATAATTGCAACAGATTAATGAAGTCAATGGATGCGACATCAGTTCCACTGGATGGGTTTCGGATGAGTTTAGCTGTGTAGGGAACACTTAAAGAGCACACTTACTTGGCACACTTCAGATTACCTGTGTGTGTGTGTGTGTTTGTGTATCCGTGTCCGTCTGTAGAGAGATGCCCAGTTTAGTGAGCCCTGTCCTACTGTCTGTCCATCAGGTGGAGAAGCGGCTGGAGCTGGTCAAGCAGGTGTCCCACAGCACCCACAAGAAGCTGACCGCCTGTCTGCAGGGCCAACAGGGGGTGGATGTGGAGAAGAGATCTGTCAGATCGCCCTCGGTGAGTCTGCCAGTATTTTTCCTTTTTCCTTCTTGTAATGCTGACATTGAGATGACAATAGAGTGTGGTACATGTTCTCCTGTTCTATGTCCTGTGTAGAAAAAGCTGCCCCTCACAACACTAGCACAATGTCTGGTGGAGGGAGCAGCAGTGTTGGGTGACGACTCACTATTGGGGTGAGTACACACAAACACACACACACACACACACACACAAATACTCGAACACACAAACAGTAATCTCCTTAATTACAGATTGATCATCTGCCACATCCGTCATAGGATTTTTAAAAGTGTGCTGACATGAAAGCATGGCAGTGTCACCCAGTGAACCAGGCCTGATTCATGATCATGGCACATGATCAACAGCAGAGCGATTATTATGGTCATTACAAGTGAAGACTGAGCTCCTGTCAAATTGATGACTTTATTGTATTGCATCAGCTAATTTTAACAGCATATAACACTTTTATCCATTATTGTGAAGGCGTGGACTTTGCCATAGTGATAGCACATACAGTAATATCACACAGTTTGTAGTGAAATTAGGTCTGGTCCTGTTTTGTGTTCTAATTGGCTATGTGCTATTTTCTCTGGCCTCTCATTGGCCGGTTGCAGGAAGATGCTGAAGCTGTGTGGCGAGACACAGGAGAAGATGGCTCTGGAGCTCATCCTGTTTGAGTTCACCATTGAGAGAGATGTGGTGGAACCCCTATACGAATTGGCAGAGGTACATAGACCATAACAACCATTATCTGCACCACAGTCATTAATTTATCTCACCTACAAAGCTACACAAGCTGTGAGAACATGATTCCTATGACAATGCCTGTCTGTCTCTATCCAATCTCTCACACTACAGAACAAACCAGAGTAAAGTGTCTTTGTTTTATGATGTGATTTCACTCAGGTGGAAATCCCCAACATCCAGAAACAAAGGAAACATTTAGCAAAACTGGTTTTGGACATGGACTCGGCACGCACAAGGTAAGAGCTGCTGACTGACAGTGTGTGTGGGTGTCTGTGTCAGTATGTGAAGAATCTGTGTGTGTCTTTCAAGGTGTTTTTTTGTGTATCTGTGTGTGAAAATGATTTGTGATTTGCCTGTGTTTCCAAACAGGGAGAAACTCAATCCCCTGTGAACTGACCTCTTTACAGCATTCCACATGAATGTCACTGTTTGATTGCCAATACTGTACAGTGAAGATCTAGGCATGGCCACATTCTCCACCCCTCAAATACTCACCTCAACATACCCCTTCACCTTAATATACTCCTCACTTTGGCTTGGCTACTCTATGGATCTTCTTTCCTGATCTGGATTTCCTTTTACAGTGTCGCTCCACTGCCATTCCTGTATTCAGGGCTGTGGCTCAGGGATAGACAGTGCAACCACAGCCTCTGTCTCTGTGCTGAGTCTGACCTCTACATATTACGCACACATTAGGGGCCATGACATTGGGAAATGTAATGTATTTTCCTCACAGAGCTCCTGCAGTTTCTTCTGCTGACACAAATGTGTGCCAAGTATGTGTCTAAGAGGTCTGGGGGACGGACAGACAGACAGACAGACAGACAGACAGACAGACAGACAGACAGACAGACAGACAGACAGACAGACAGACAGACAGACAGACAGACAGACAGACAGACAGACAGACAGACAGACAGACAGACAGACAGACAGACTGACAGACTGACATACTGACAGACTGACAGACTGGGAAGTGAACAAGTGCACACTTAGGGCATAAGGATAGAGAATTGGGATGCAGCGGATGTCTATATGTTTGCATAGGATGTGTAACCCCCCTCTTTTTTCCCTCCACCCCTCAGGTTCCACCAGTCCTCCAAATCCGGTATGTCCAGCAACGTGCAGCCAGGGGCCAAGGGCGAGCACCTCAGGGAAGAGATGGAAGAAGCAGCCAATCGAATGGAGATCTGTCGAGTCAGTCTACATCTCCTTTTCCTCGCTCTCGTTCTCTTTCTAACGCTCCTCAAGATGTTTTCTCTGAAATCGCTGTGTATTTTCTGAAGTTATCCTTTTGTATTTTTCCAGGATCAATTATCAGCAGACATGTACAATTTTGTGGCCAAAGAAATTGACTATGCAAGCTACTTTCAGACAGTAAGGACTGAACGGTCTCTCTCTAATAGCATTCACTCTGTCTTCATTGAGGTAATGCAGGGACATAGAAAATACACTAATCTCTCTCCCTCTCTCTCTATTCCCCCTCTCTCTATCTCTCTTTCTCTCTCTGTTTCTCTCTCTGTATCGAACTGTTTCTCTTTCTTTCTTTCTCTCTCTCTCGCTCTCTCTCTTTTTCTCTGTCTCTTTTTCTCTGTCTCTTTTTCTCTGTCTCTTTTTCTCTGTCTCTGTCTCTGTCTCTGTCTCTGTCTCTGTCTCTGTCTCTGTCTCTGTCTCTGTCTCTGTCTCTCTCTCTCTAGTTGATAGAGGTGCAGGCAGAGTACCACAGGAAGTCGTTAGAGCTCCTCCAGAATATTCTGCCTCAGATCAAAGCCCACCAGGGTGAGTATGTCTGCCCAGCACCCAGCACCCAGCTCCCAGTGCCCACCCGGCCCTCACTCATTATTACACACATATTATGCCATTTCTGTCCTCCTTCAACCCTGCAGTAGGAGCACTGGTGCACATCTTCTCTATATTCATCAGGGTTGGGGTCAATTCCATTTCAATTTAGTCCGTTCTGGAGATTAATAGAAATTCCATTTGTGAATTTGAATTTGAAAAGGGCCATTTCTTTTTTAATGAAGACGTTTCAATTCATGAATGGAATTTCAATTAACTCACAGTCTTTCTGTAGTTTAAATGGAACTGAACCCAACCCTGATATTCACAATGCACCCATATCCATGGTTGCAGTATGCTTTTTGTTACCTTTTTATATATAATTTATAGTCAATACTGACTGCTCAGAGGCTATAGTGTGTATGAGGCAACCTTAGTAATAACCTGATTAACCTGCTGACTGTGTAACCTTGGTGCTGTGTGTGTTGTGGTTGACAGAGACCTGGGTGGAGAAGCCGTGCTATGGGAAACCCTTAGAGGAGCACCTAACCCTGAGCGGGCGGGATATTGCCTTCCCCATCGAAGCCTGTGTCACCATGCTGCTGGAGTGTGGCATGCAGGAAGAGGTCAGTGTGTATTCCACACTAGTGACAACATACTGATTAGCCTAACCTCCTGTGTCCCTGTCCCATTCCAGGGCCTGTTCAGAGTAGCGCCCTCGGCCTCCAAACTGAAGAAGCTCAAGGCGTCTCTAGACTGTGGGGTGATGGACATACAGGAGTACTCTGCAGACCCTCATGCCATCGCAGGTGAGTTGGCAACCCAACCTCCCAAATACCTCACTTCCTTTCACTCTGCAGTATATTATCATGCCAACTGACATTGTCATGGAGATCGTCCCGAAACCTGCCCCTAGTCTGTTCGGGTTATCAAAGGCTCCCTGTCAACCGAAAAACTTCAACTTAGGTCTTATACATAGCTTTATTATGATCCTGGCTGTGTGAGAATCTGACTATAGGAGCGCGTGAATACACAGACCCTGAGTGAGCCTTGAAAAAGCATCCTCTCTGAATCCTTTTCCATGTTCATTTCTAATGATTCCATGTTAACCAGGGTGATACACAGAACCAGCACCAAAAGGAAAGCCCATTTGCGACCCTCTCCTGCGGGGAGAGTAGTGCCAATGCGGATTCATGTCCCACGTCACCCACTCTAAACACATCAGAATCAAGTCAACAGCATAGCGCTTTCTAACAAAGCTAATAAAAAATGTTAATGTTTTCATTGTCACATACAGGTGCAGTGAAATGTGTTGTTTTACAGGGTCAGCTGTAGTAAAGATGCTCCCTGGAGGGATTCAAACTGCTTTGCATTTAATGTGTTTATCTAGTGCAGATAGACACACACACCGGCATGCCTACACAAACATACACTCTACACACAGAATGGTGGCACAACTGTTGTGGTTTCCTCTGTACCATCAGAATGCAAGGGATATCTTGTCCACAAGTCCTGGTTCAACCTTCCCATACAGTACATCCCCAGGGGAAATAGTTGCAGTAGAGACATACAGTACCTTGCAAAAGTATTCATCCCCCTTTGTGTTTTTCCTATTTTTTTGCATTACAACCTGTCATTTAAATTGATTTTTATTTGGATTTAATGTAATGGACATACACAAAATAGTCCAAATTGGTGAAGTGAAATGAAAAAAATAACTTGTTTAAAAAAATCCAAAAAAATTAATAACGGAAAAGTGGTGCGTGCATATGTATTCACCCCCTTTGCTATGAAGCCCCTAAATAAGATCTGGTGCAACCAATTACCTCCAGAAGTCACATAATGAGTTAAATAAAGTCCACCTGTGTGCAATCTAAGTGTCACATGATCTGTCACATGATCTGAGTATATATACACCTGTTCTGAAAGGCCCTAGAATCTGCAACACCACTAAGCAAGGGGCACCACCAAGCAAGCGGCACCATGAAGACCAAGGAGCTCTCCAAACAGGTCAGGGACAAAGTTGTGGAGAAGTAAAGATCAGGGTTGGGTTATACAAAAATATCAGAAACTTTGAACATCCCATGGAGCACCATTAAATCCATGATTAAAAAATGGAAAGAATATGGCACCACAACAAACCTGCCAAGAGAGGGCCGCCCACCAAAACTCACGGACCAGGCAAAGAGGGCATTAATCAGAGCGGCAACAAAGAGACCAAAGATAACCCTGAAGGAACTACAAAGCTCCACAGATGAGATTGGAGTATCTGTCCATAGGACCACTTTAAGCCGTACACTCCACAGAGCTGGGCTTTACGGAAGTGTGGCCAGAAAAAAGCCATTGCTTAAAGAAAAAAATAAGCAAACAAAAGCCATGTGGGAGACTCCCCAAACATATGGAAGAAGGTACTCTGGTCAGATGAGACTGAAATTGAGCTTTTTGGCCATCAAGGAAAACGCTATGTCTGGCGCAACACCTCTCATCACCCCGAGAACACCATTCCCACAGTGAAGCATGGTGGTGGCAGCATCATGCTGTGGGGATGTTTTTCATCGGAAGGGACTGGGAAACTGGTCAGAATTGAAGGAATGATGGATGGCGCTAAATACAGGGAAATTCTTGAGGGAAACCTGTTTCAGTCTCCAAGAGATTTGAGACTGGGACGGAGGTTCACCTTCCAGCAGTACAATAACCCTAAGCATACTGCTAAAGCAACACTCGAGTGGTTTAAGGGGAAACATTTAAATGTCTTGGAATGGCCTAGTCAAAGCCCAGACTGCAATCCAATTGAGAATCTGTGGTATGACTTAAAGATTGCTGTACACCAGCGGAACCCATCCAACTTGAAGGAGCTGGAGCAGTTTTGCCTTGAAGAATGGGCAAAAATCCCAGTGGCTAGATGTGCCAAGCTTATAGAGACATACCCCAAGAGACTTGCAGCTGTAATTGCTGCAAAAGGTGGCTCTACAAAGTATTGACTTTGGGGGGTGAATAGTTATGCACACTATAGTTTTCAGTTTTTTTGTGTTATTTGTTGTTTGTTTCACAATAAAAAAATATTTAGCATCTTCAAAGTGGTAGGCATGTTGTGTAATTGAAATGATACAAACCCTCAAAAAGATATATTTTAATTCCAGGTTGTAAGGCAAAAAAATAGGAAAAATGCCAAGGGGGGGGGTGAATAATTTCACAAGCCACTGTACACATTCTCTCCCTCCCCCTCCTTTCTCCATCTTTCTGTGTCTGTGTGTTTTATGAAGTGTTTCATCCCTAGGTACTGATGTCTTTAGGCCTACACCGTAGCCGTTTTACAATTTCTTACTCTCTTACTTCAAGCTCTCCCTCTCATTTTCAGCACACACACCACCCTCATCCTCTCTGTTTATCCATCTTTCTTTCACTCACCCTCCTATTGTCTCATCCCAACAGGTGCTTTGAAATCCTACCTACGGGAACTCCCTGAGCCACTGATGACCTTTGAACTTTACGATGAATGGATCCAAGCTTCTAAGTCAGTATCAGTTTGTAATGGTGCCGCCATTAGTTGATGTTTATTCATTGTGTTTGATTCATACTCTATGCTGCTGATTCTTTATTTACTTGAAAGGTATGAGATCATTGGATGTGGGGTTTCTCTTTCACACTAAGCTGTTATTTTGTGGTTTGTCTGGCAGCATTCAAGACCAGGACAAGAGACTCCAAGCCCTCCTCACAGCATGCGAGAAACTACCCCTGGCCAATGGCAACAACTTCAAGTGAGTCGCCATCTCTGTGTTTCGCTCTTTCTCTCTCCCGCACCCATAGGCCCCATGTAGCTCAGTTGGTAGAGCATGGCGCTTGCAACGCCAGGGTTGTGGGTTTGATTCCCACGGGGGGCCAGTATGAAAAAAATAAAAAATGCATGCACTAACTGTAAAGTCGCTCTGGATAAGAGCGTCTGCTAAATGACTGAAATGTACATTTCACTCTCTGGTCTTTCCTGGCACTTGCCTGACCATTAAATTATTTCAGTTTCCATCACCTTGCACCGTTTCTATCCTTCGCTGCACTTTTCATATCAGCAGTTGCACTGAACTGATGAAGAGTTCATCATAGCTTTCAAGCAGCCAGAACTGGGTGTGCTTTTTGTGTTTTTCTGTGTTGGCTGCTTGATCAAGGATAGCAGCATGGAATATTGGTTGCAGGGGCTTGACATATGATCAAAAAGAGTGGGAGTAGGGGGTGTAAGGGTGAAACAGAAATCAAAAGGCTGACAGACTGCAGTGCTTGTCAGTGTCATCGTTGAATCTCACAAATAGGCTTCTTTTTAGGTTGTCTTCTTGTGCGAACACCTGTCAAACCTGTCCTTATCATAGCCCAATTGAAATGAGCTGCCTGGGGTTCTGTCTGAACAATCGGTTCATCTTAGATGAGCCCGAAAACCACAATCTGTAGGATTCTGAGATTTGTCAGCCAATGCAGTATACAGTACATGAATGATCATGATCGAAAAACATAAATGTATTGTTAGTTTATTGTTTCTTTTTCAGGTATTTAATAAAATTCCTCGCCAAGTTAGATGACTACCAGGATGAAAATAAAATGACTCCTGGGAATATTGCAATAGTCTTGGGTCCCAACCTGCTGTGGACAACGCAGGAAGGGTAGGACTTCATCTATCTCTACCACACTATTTAGTCACACCATGGAGACTATACATAGAGTACCTTTTTAAAAGCAATGCCTGTTCATTGATAGTGACTTAAAGAGATAAAACTGTCCAAATTAAGTAATACTCATATCTCAAGATTCAAGTGAATAACTTCCAGTGCTGAACAATTGCATTGAATTCACTGTCTGGCCATCACTCTTCATCAAATTAAACTAACTCCTCCATATCTCTTCCACTCCCTCCCTCCAGGAACATTACAGAGATGATGACCACTGTGTCCCTGCAGATTGTAGGCATCATTGAGCCCATCATCCAGCACGCTGACTGGTTCTTCCCTGGAGGTGAGAGTGACACAGTGTCTGTTCAGCCTCTGTAAGCCACAACCGCCTCTCTCATCCATTAGAATGTAATACTTTTGCTTTAATGTCCCTGTATCACCCTCTGTATGCGGGTAAATGGAAACAGGCACCTGCTCTTACATACACAGTATTACAGTCAGTCAACTTAAGGGACCTTAGGAGACCTATTCACAATTTTAAGAATCAGATCTTATAACGGGATACATGTTTATTGTCACAAAAGTAATCACCTCACCTATCTCTTTCCCCTCTCTCAGAGATTGAGTTTAATGTCACAGGAAACTATGGCAGCCCAGTCCACACCAACCACAATGCCAACTACAGCTCCATGCCCTCTCCGGATATGGACCATTCCGATCGCAAGCACAATGACCAGAGCCGACGTCCACTCAGTGTGGCCACTGACAACATGATGCTGGAGTTCTATAAGAAGGATGGGTAAGAAGATCCAACTCTTGTTGTACCTGTTTTACCCTGCCCTTTCCTTCTCCATCTCTCTTAAATCCTCTCTCTCTCTGAAGTCAACTACCTAACCAGTCTTCCCCCACTGTCCTTGCTGAACACTCTTAACTGGAACATGAACCATTGGACAACAAGTATTACTATTGATATTGGTTATTGCAGAAGAGTTCAGAATTAAGGATAGTTGTGTTAACATATTAAGGGTGACAATGAGCCTTTTGAGGTATGGATGAGCAGATGAAAGCTAATGGCTTGATCGACTAGCGAGAGATTTGAGTGTTTTGTGAAAGCTGTATGCCTTAGATATAGCACAATGTCACCTTTCTATGTCAATAGTTTTTGTTTATATAATAATATAAGCCTGTACACTCGGTGAAAAGGAGAGCTTAGTAAAGAGTTCAGTCTGGGTATGAGGGGGTGGAGAGAATATCACTAAATTCTTCTTCATCTTGGGTGAGAGCGAGAGAGAGAAATGCACTAAGACAGACAGACAGCCAGACAGAACAGGAAGCTCAGAGAAATATGTTGGTCTATGGTGGTGAGTGGTGCAGTAAGCAGTCTTGTGCTGTACGGAGGATTAGTTTCAAGTCAATCATGTTTTCTCTCTCTCTTTTCAAATGACTTCTCTGTCTTGTCCCTGTTCAGCAGACCATCTGAGCCCCTCAGCTCTGGGACCACATAAACCCAGCTAATTAAACTTGTCCAGGACTGTGTAGGGACCAATCAATAAATAGAGCTCTGCTCTCATTAGAACCCCCCCCCCCCCCCCCCCCCCCCCCCCTCCAGACAGAGCAGGAGGATCAGGTCAAGGAGCATTTGGCTCCTTAGTACAAACTGAGACCAATAAGGAAGTAGCATTCCCAAATTTAATTCCATACCTCTGTGATGGTTTTATTAATTCTGGGCCTTTCTCCAAAGCACTATGGGCGATGCCTTGTCCTTGACTGTTTCTTTGCTTGGTGTGTGAGATTGTCATTGAGTCCAAAATATCTGAATATTACGTATCCTTTAACCATCCATAGTTGTACATAGCTTTTTTTTATAGTAAACAAGCACATTGACCACTGCTGCAAGTGACTTCCTGTATGTTGGTGTTATTTTGGGGCATTTTTTACATCCATGGGGAAATGTTGACCTAATTAGTTAATTGGCTCACTGGTAGGACATGCTTGGAGCTCTTTTGGGAAGGAACATATTCACCCCTCAAATACCTCACCTCATTACTCTCAGCATGACTTCCATCCCACATGACCCCCTGCAATCCAAGCCTGAAGGCTCGACCTGCTGCTCCTCCATCTTGGATCCAACCCCTGACCCGACTGCTTCCCGAGTTGCTTTGATAAACATGTAGTGATGCTTTGAATCAATTAACAGAGGTTCTCATGATCCTTACCCTTTATTGTGATGTTTTTGTCCTACCAAGCAGCGTTAGGAAAATTCAAAGGTACTGTACTTACTCTTTCTCCTGCCTGTTTCTCTGTTCTTCTCTCTGTTTACCCTTGTCTGAACTGCCTGTGGAAAGAAAGCCTCTCTCTGTCATAATTTGTCTGTCAGTATTCCAGTCACGATTATTCTCTCGTCCAAATGACACACTTGTAATCCTATAGTTCAACGTTCCCTACAGAGTGCTGCTGACAGACAGAGTGCTGCCAACTAACTGTTGTCAAGCTCCTGTGTGAACAATGTTCTCGCACTGTGTGGTTTGTTTACTTAAAATGCATCTTTGCAATGTCTGGCATTAGATGTACTCGTCTGATTGCTTTGACTAGTACAAATGGCAATAACAGGTGCAAACAGTTGTTTGTCACACAGAGACCAACCACACATACACCCACACTGTGACATATTATTACAAATGTTTCCTTTCCCTAGTGTTTCTACGCATATTGTTCAGTAAAGAGTGTGCTGACGATTGTGAGCACTACAGGATGAGGCTCCCTGGAGTTGGCTGACCTTGATTAACTGTTTGTCTCTGTCCCACTGCAGCATGGGGGTCAGGGTGATGGACACTTCTTGGGTGTCGCGCAGGGGCTCGTCGTCAGCGCGTAAAACCTCCTCCACGCCCCCGAGTGTGCAGCCCCCCCTCCCGCCCTCAGACGCTCTCATACCTGAGCAGGGGGAGCTCTCTGCGTCCCCCTCACCAACGCCTCCTCCTGCTAGCAGCGACCGTGCCAGGTAAGGCTGTTGTGCCCCCCACTCCAATTTACCCCAATCCTCGCACCCTGAAACGGACATCGACACAGCATTGTTGTCTACTTTTTCTGTATATGTCTTCTAATTCTCTTTCCCACGCATCGTCTTCACCTTTCTGTGAACCGAAGCCCAGTTTCATCTCAAACTTGGTTTGACCATGTGTGATATTGTTTTCATTGTGTTTGATCTTCAGAGTTTCTAGAGCCCTTTCAAGTACATTTTGTGCTTGGTTAGTTTCATATACAGGTTGTACCAGAGGGTTGTTTTTTGGAAGAGGGACATAAAGTATGTTTTTTATTTGTTTTCAGACAGCACTTTTTTATCCATTACCCATACAATTTTAACAATGTGAGCTAAGAAAATGCTAATCTCATCGCAGAGGTACCTTGCCAATGCAGCATGTACATGTTTTTCCTTTCTATCTATCAGAACAGGTTTCATTAACACTGCTCATGGACTAAAGCAGCCTAATGTTACTCCTTATAGTCCAAGGACATTACACGAATTGTCTCTGGAAGCCAAAACAGCCAAATACTCCATCTAAACTTGAATCGATTCTCAATTGCGGAATGGTTCTAGAAACATAAAGCCCTCTACTTTCATATCACATCAAAAATAATTTCACAAATGCAAAATACATACTTACTGTTTTAACTGGTTTTAACACAGTTGCAGCTGACAGTATTTTTCAGTGACAAAACGTTTGTGGCATCAGTCTTCAGTTTACACACGGGTGTTCAGAGACGCAGATAGCTAATTAGCACACCCTCTGTCTTCCGTCTGTTTTCCGTAAACAAGCGCTGTCACATGGAAATATGGCTGTGTGGGAACCCTAACCCTATAAAGGTGTATAGTCATTTAACCTTTTGTTTTTTGAAAAATATTTCTTGCTGATATGAAAGATACATTCCTTATGTTTCCAAAACCGTACCTCAAGCAATGCGTCTCAACGTTTAGAGCAAGCGTTGGGGGCTCTTAACAAAAGTTCCCCGGTCAGGGCCTCCCGAGTAGCGCAGCGGTCTAAGGCAGCGATGGGACAAGACTGTAACTACCAATTGGGGAGAAAAAGGGGTAAAAGTACCCCCCCCAAAAATATAATAATAATTCCCGGTCAGAAGATACTATCGTCAATAGGCGCTAAAGCAGTTAGCGTCTATGAATGGGGTATGCTCATGTAAGATGGCAAATGGCTTTTTTTTTCTTGCATTTGTCAAGCATTTTTAGGGTTTTCATAGCTTGAGTTATGAGTGTGCTGAATGAATATACTGAATTCATGTTTTTCCTTTGTTCTTTTATTTTATATTTTTATATTTCCTTAGACCTCTCTCCTCACCCTCTTAACACGACTCTGTTCAACTTTGGTTGACTAATTCCTTCCCTGATACAAAAACCTGCACTTGTTCTCCTTCACACTTAACTGCACTGGTTATTGAGTGTTCACAAACATGCCAGAATGACCCACTGGACTTGCTCACATATTCTTTTTGATACAATGCTTTTCGTTCCACAACAAGAACATGCCAATATTGGCCTCTTCCTGACTCAGAACAGTCCAATTCCCTGTGAAATCATTGACATTTTTATCATTGCAGCTCCGATGATGCGTCATCCACTTGGTCGGACTCCTGTTATGCCTACCCCTCCCCGGAGGAGGAGAGGCCCCCTCCCCCTTACCCCTCTTCCTCCTCCTCTTCCTCCTCTTGCTACCCACCTCCTCACCATTTCTACCCCCGAGCACCGCAGTGTGCGCGCCCTGTCGCCCCCGGTCCTGAGTCCGTGCCCCCTGGGCCGTCCCCGCCACCTCCCCCCCACTGGTCTGACTACCGCCCTCACCCACTGCCCCCCTCCTCGTGCCCCTCCCCCCAGCAGCTTGATATCAACTCTAACCCCAAGCCCAGCTCCCTGCACCTGCCCAAACAGAGTTCCCTGGCCGAAGCTCTGCATGCGCCCCCACCGTCAGAAACTAACGTCTCCCCCCTCTACATCAAAACCCCCCTCGTGCTAACCCGACACGACCCGTCCCTCGTTCCCCACCCCCCTAACTTTCCCCTGTCCACACCTCTTCCGTGGGCCGCCTGTGCCTGTAGCCAAGAGAGAGGAGCCAAGCTGACTGGGTAAATACTATGTCACATCGTCCGGCCACTCCTAGAGCTTGGACACAAACTCAGTCTTCGTAACACACACAGGCCTGAGTGGCTCATAATGACAAGATGAGAGAGGGATATTGGGATACAAATGGGAGAGTGAGAGAGAGGGCGCTGCCTCCAATGTGCCAACATCTTGTTTTATTAATTTTGTTCATTTTCTCACTCTGTTCTATTGGAGCGTTTTAGTACCAAACTCTCCTTATTTTATAGGAGGATGTTGCCAAGCAACAAACAATATTAAAATCTCTCAGCGATAGCAGAATATAGTGGGCGTTAATGAGTCATTTTAGTGGGCCCAGTTGGCCTTGGATGGTAGTTGGCTAGTTCTGTTTTTGAATATGAATTGGATTTAGAGTGACTAAGTGAAAAATATGGATGGGCTGGGCATGATTCCTAACCAATCATTGGCCTTCATCGGAATGGGGTCTTTTACGTCAACAGCCGTAAGGAATGCCTCATTGCTTAGCTCCACTCTAACTCTAAATCCCTCCAGTCCCGATCACCCATCCTCACCTGCTGTCAATGGGCGGGGGAATTTGGAGCTGGGAGAGCTGTCACTCACATCCTATTATAAACTGGTTAGGTTTAGTCCTTCAAGCGCTCAACCCATTGGCATTCTGGCTGCATAGTGCCATAAAAGGCAAGAAAAAAATCCATTAAGCCTACAGGCTTGGTCTTGGATTTTTTGGGGCTTACGCTCCACTGCAATATAGCTGGTAGTGCATATACTTGCAGTATTGAAAGTGGTCACTCAGATTATCTGACATTGAACTATGGGGATTTTCATTCCTATGGATGTCATGACATGTGCCGGAATAAGGTGAATGTTTTGAACCTGATTGGCAATTGTTAGCTACATGGCGCGGATTGAGGCCATCTACCTTCCTACTGACAGGCAGTGAACACGCACACACACAGTCACACACACACACATGCACACACACACACACACACACACACACACATGCACACACACGACCTGAAGAAGATGCTATGAAGATTACATATTGTTGTTAATATATCCTTTTCTCTTCCCAGTACTCTGATGAACAAAGAGCTGTCTCCAGTGATTGTACAGAAGGGCTTCCAGGGAACAGCACCCTCTGGTGGGCCATCACAGAACTCTTCTGAACATAGCCCTCACACCCTGAGAAGAGGTACTGATGGAAGAAGGTTGTGTGTGTGTGTGTGCGTGCATATGCATGGGAGAGAGACTGTGCTGTGCACAAAGCAGCCAGATTGTTTTGTTTTGGCTTGTCACCTCTCAATTACAATCTGTGTTGCTTTTCTCTCACACTTGGCATTCTGTCTGGTCTCTCCACAGCTAAGAAGCTGGCCCCCATCCCACCTAAGCACTACTCTCAGTCTGGGGGGATGTCTGACCAGTCCACAGGTCAGCCCTCTCCAGTTAGCCTGTCCCCCACCTCTCCTAGTACCCCCTCCCCGTATGGCTTTGGCTACCCCCAGGGCTACGCCACCATCGGCTCCCCGGGACAGGCCCAGACCGCCACCCTCTCCTCCCCTCCCTCGCTAGCCGGCACCCTCACCAAGGCCAGGCCCACTCCCAAGCCTCCCAGGCAGAGGCCCAGCCTGCCCCCGCCGCAGCCCCCCAGCACCCCTGGCTCCAGCCCCCAACCCCTGGAGCACAGTGGCCTGCTGGATGGATTGTCTCCTGGGGAGAGCATGTCCACAGGTAAATGCTTCAATGGAGTTTCTACACACTAGGAGCCCCGCTTATACACTCTCATCTCTGGTAAAGCTGGAGGGTCTCATTCTCCAGTGTGCCTGACAGCATTTTAATCATATAATTAATTTAATAGGATCTCTGTGGTTTTAATGTGGTTTCTGCAAATGGAACTCTTTTCTGTCATTTTTTAAATGACTGATACTTTAAAGCCTTTCACCTGTGTAAAACTGCGGGGAACAGGTTAAAAGATTCTAATCAATATCTCTTATCTTGTTCTTCCATATTTGTCATTCTTTTGTCAACTACTATTATCGTCTGCCTACAGCGGTATGAGGCGAGTGGTTCAATATGGGCTAAATGTGAGAGGGCCTTTTTAGGGTAAGCAGGAGTTCCAGTACTGTACCAAAGCCTCACCCTCCCACCCCTCCAACCAACCAACCGTCCGCCATCCTGGCTCACTGTGGAGCTGCATGGCTCCAGCCCTCTGTATATATAGCTGTATACATGATGTCTCATATGTATATATCTATATATCTCTGCACTGTTCAGTCCACCACTAACCAATTTTGTTGGCCTATGCATGGTGGCTGAGACTGGCGCGATGCATGGCTTGTGGATGTGTCTGAAATACCGTCCACTGACACTACTTCACACAGAAGATTGACGTCATTTTGCTATCCCAAGAAGCTTTCTTTACTGTTTTTCCCCCGAAACCATGCCACATCCCACCGCTGCCCCCTTGCTTACACACTGCACAGTCACCCCCCCCCCACCCCCTCAATCTTGTGCCACACCTCACCCCACTGCTGTTCTTGAATAAGTCCACTTCCTGTTGTCCACTCACTGGTTGTTGTCCATTTCATTGTTACACAATGGATGTCATCATTCTCACATGACTGTGAGATCAAAGACAAAGTAATGACGTGTAAATGTTTGTGGTGACTGCGCTGGACACTGTTGGGGATTTGTTATTATCCACACCTTGAACAAGTGTTCTTTCTTCACATGCAATTTGCAGTATTACAAACCTACCCCAACCACAATGTCTGCTGAAAATGTTGGAGTTACATTACATACTGACCTGCCTCTAATCTGTCAGTAAATTCTCTAGAAACACTGATCATCTCTAAGGATGTGTGTTTGCGCGTGTGTGTTTGTGCGTGTGCGTGTGTAAAACAATAGCCTGGGCATATGATGACCTCCCTGCTGTGTGTAATGCATCATTCAGCATTGACTTAATCATGTCTGGAACATACCTTTTTAAGCAACCACTAACAGTTATTTTCTCTGTCTCTTATTTTCTTGTCTCTTCTCATGTTGATCTTTGACCACTCAGAGTCTTTCTGCAACCTGGATATCCCCATCATCAACGTGGAACTGGATGGCATCTTCGATGAGCCTAAGATGGTCCCCTACAGGAACTCAGTGGCGGTGGTCCAACCGACCCCCAAGATGGAGTCAGAGGAAGAGTCTGAGAGCACGATACTATGACATCACGAGTTTCCTCCCCCAGCCCTACCATTCCAGCCCGTCTCCAGGACCCGTTCTCTGACCTTTGACCCAATGGGACTCACTCCAGACTTCACCTCCACCTATAGAGACCAAGCACCGGGTTCAGCCCTGTAAAGCAAAGTTCATCTCATATCATGAAATAGATATGAATACAGAAAATACAGACAGTACATCCACATCCAGAGAGTTTCTCACTGAGACTGTGGGGGGAGGAACTTTTGAAAACAATGCTATGTTTTGATGTTGACTCGATTCCTTTGATTCTATCTGTGGTGCATTCATTTTTAAGGATTTTCTTTTTAAACAATTGCATTCATTTTTCTTTACTTTTGCCTTATTTGAGTCATTTGCAATATTGCCTTTAACTTCACATACAAGACATGAAAACAATTTGCTCGGTGGAATGGATTCTACTCTTGTGAGTGCAGTAGTAAAGGAAGGGGACAGTAGATTTCTGATTTCCTCTCCCTGTCACCAAGTCTATGGCATTCACTTTGACGCCATCCTAACCCATCCCTCGTACTCTGAGGTCGCTGGCAACCCCTTGTTCCTTCCTGAATGTGTGTTTGTGAATTGTGTGATGTGTTTGGAAATGTGCTGCATTATTGAGTGGCGAGTTGTGACATAGAAAATATATATGGTACTGCAAGACCAGTTTGAGCTTGAATCCCCAATCACACTCTTCAAAAGGAGATTAAGATTGCATTTGGCTGTTAGACGGGAAGTTAAATCTGGATAATATATTATTAACTATTTAAAATGACTGTTTATACTGTACATTTCAGAGTATATGATTTTAACAGTGATACAAGAGTTATTATATGTGTCGTATAATATAAGAATACAACCATAGGTATACAGATAAAGAACTATAAATACGGTATACAGATATTCTATAGTACAGCATGTACTTGATTGTACATTATCATAGGAGAGGCTTAGAGCTCAGTGGGATAAATCTGGATGGCTATGTAGAGGGAATGGGGCATAGAAACCGAATGAACAGAATAATTATATATGAAAGGAATGGATTGCTGAAAAGTGAGTATGAGTGGAATGTGCAGGGTGGGACTATACCTCCTCTCTGTGGTCTCTGTACTCAGCCTCAGCTTCTTTAACGAGCGCCCTGAGAGTCTTCTCTGGCAAGAGCATGTCACTGGGGAGCCTGCTCAGCTGTTTGAAAGCAAATATTGGAAACTTTTTTGTTAGAGCAAGTGTGTATATGAGTGCGGTTCTGTGTCTGTATGTGTGGGTGTTATCCAGAATATAGATATATTTCTCTTGGTGCTAGAATATATGTTTATAATCTGTCACGCAGGGAGTAAGAATAGGCTCTCATTGAAATTATACAGAGGTTGCTGTTTCAGTTCCCTATACCCCCCCCCCCCCCCCCTCTTTAGTAAGAGGAATCTACTATATAAAGAATTTGATGACGAGGAATGTGAATAAGTATTTGTTATTCTGCTGAAAGTATTTATACCGATGATTACAGTGCAGAGGAGGATGAATGACATCCACAACACATAAGACCAATGTTCCAATCTGTTGATCCAGGGAGGGGCCCGCCCATGACCTACAGTTGAAGTCGGAAGTTTACATACACCTTAGCCAAATACATTTAAACTCAGTTTTTCACAATTCCTGACATTTAATCCTACTAAAAATTCCCTGTTTTAGGTCAGTTAGGATCACCACTTTATTTTAAGAATGTGAAATGTCAGAATAATAGTAGAGAGAATGATTTATTTCAGCTTTTATTTCTTTCATCACATTCCCAGTGGGTCAGAAGTTTACATACACGCAATTAGTATTTGGTAGCATTGCCTTTAAATTGTTTAACTTGGGTCAAACGTTTTGGGTAGCCTTCCACAAGCTTCCCACAATAAGTTGGGTGAATTTTGGCCCATTCCTCCTGACAGAGCTGGTGTAACTGAGTCAGGTTTGTAGGCCTCCTTGCTCGCACACGCTTTTTCAGTTCTGCCTACACATTTTCTATAGGATTGAGGTCAGGGCTTTGTGATGGCCACTCCAATACCTTGACTTTGTTGTCCTTAAGCCATTTTGCCACAACTTTGGAAGTATGCTTAGGGTCATTGTCCATTTGGAAGACCCATTTGCGATCAAGCTTTAACTTCCTGACTGATGTCTTGAGATGTTGCTTCAATATATCCACGTAATTTCCCTTCGTCATGATGCCATCTATTTTGTGAAGTGCACCAGTCCCTCCTGCAGCAAAGCACCCCCACAGCATGATGCTGCCACCCCCGTGCTTCACGGTTGGGATGGTGTTCTTCGGCTTGCAAGGAACCCCCTTTTTCCTCCAAACATAACGATGGTCATTATGGCCAAACAGTTCTATTTTTGTTTCATCAGACCAAAAAGTACGATCTTTGTCCCCATGTGCAGTTGCAAACCGTAGTCTGGCTTTTTTATGGCCATTTTGGAGCAGTGGCTTCTTCCTTGCTGAGCGTCCATTCAGGTTATGTGGATATAGGACTCGTTTTACTGTGGATATAGATACTTTTGTACCTGTTTCCTCCAGCATCTTCACAAGGTCCTTTGCTGTTGTTCTGGGATTGATTTGCACTTTTCGCACCAAAGTACGTTCATCTCTAGGAGACAGAACGCGTCTCCTTCCTGAGCGGTATGACGGCTGTGTGTTTCCATGGTGTTTATACCTGCGTACTATTGTTTGTACAGATGAACGTGGTACCTTCAGGTGTTTGGAAATTGCTCCCAAGGATGAACCAGACTTGTGGAGGTCTACAATTTTTTTTCTGAGGTCTTGGCTGATTTATTTTGATTTTCCCATGATGTCAAGCAAAGAGGCACTGAGTTTGAAGGTAGGCCTTGAAATACATCCACAGTTACACCTCCGATTGACTCAAATGATGTCAATTAGCCTATCAGAAGCTTCTAAAGCCATGACATCATTTTCTGGAATGTTCCAAGCTGTTTAAAGGCACAGTCAACTTAGTGCATGTAAACTTCTGACCCACTGGAATTGTGATACAGTGAATTATAAGTGAAATAATCTGTCTGTAAACAATTGTTGGAAAAATTACTTGAGTCAAAGTAGACGTCCTAACCGACTTGCCAAAAATATAGTTTGTTATTAAGAAATTTGTGGAGTGGTTGAAAAACAAGTTTTAATGACTCCAACCTAAGTGTATGTAAACTTCCTACTTCAACTGTATACAAACCTATGACCCTCATTTAGTATGTCTCCTTAGAAACGTTCCATCCATAACTCTGATTACTGTTTGGAAGACACAACAAACCTGCTCTTTCATGCACTTACGTTCAAGTGCTATATATTTTATCCATCACAATACTGAAAATGGGGAGAGAATGAAATATACAGTACCAGTCAAAAGTTTGGACACACCTACTCATTCAAGGGTTTTTCTTTATTTTTACTATTTTCTACATTGGAATCATGTAGTAACCAAAAAAGTGTTAAACAAATCAGAATATATTTTATATTTGAGATTCTTCAAAGTAGCCACCCTTTGCCTTGATGACAGCTTTGCACACTCTTGGGATTCTCTCAACCAGCTTCATGAGGTAGTCACCTGGAATGCATTTCAATTAACAGGTGTGCCTTGTTAAAAGTTAATTTGTGGAATTTCTTTCCTTCTTAATGCGTTTGAGCCAATCAGTTGTGTTGTGACAAGGTAGGGGTGGTATACAGAAGATAGCCCTATTTGGTAAAAGACCAAGTTCATATTATGGCAAGAACAGCTCAAATAAGCAAAGAGAAATGACAGTTCATCATTACTTTAAGACATGAAGGTCAGTCAATCCGGAGAATTTCAAGAACTTGGAAAGTTTCTTCAAGTGCAGTCGCAAAAACCATCAAGCGCTATGATGAAACTGGCTCTCATGCGGACCGCCACAGGAAAGGAAGACCCAGAGTTACCTCTGCTGCAGAGGATAAGTTCATTAGAGTTAACAGCCTCAGAAATGGGCAATTAAGTGCACCTCAGATTGCAGCTCAAATAGATGCTTCACAGAGTTCAAGTAACAGACACATCTCAACGTTAACTGCTCAAAGGAGACTACATGAATCAGGCCTTCATGGTCGAATTGCTGCAAAGAAACCACTAAAAGGACACCAATAATAAGAAGAGACTTGCTTGGGCCAAGAAACACGAGCAATGGACATTAGACCGGTGGAAATCTGTCCTTTGGTCTGATAATTCCAAATTTGAGATTTTTGGTTCCAACCGCTGTGTCTTTCTGAGACGCAGAGTAGGTGAATGGACGATCTCCGCATGTGTGGTTCCCACCGTGAAGCATAGAGGAGGAGGTGTGATGGTGCTTTGCTGGTGACACTGTCAGTGATTTATTTAGAATTCAAGGCACAGTTAACCAGCATGGCTACCACAGCATTCTGCAGCGGTATGCCATCCCATCCAGTTTGCGCTTAGTGGGACTATCATTTGTTTTTCAACAGGACCATAACCCAAAACACACCTCCAGGCTGTGTAAGGGCTATTTGACCAAGAAAGAGAGTGATGGAGTGCTGCATCAGATGACCTGGCCTCCACAATCACCTGACCTCAACCCAATTGAGATGGTTTGGGATGAGTTGGACCGCAGCATGAACGAAAAGCAGCCAACAAGTGCTCAGCATATGTGGGAACTCCTTCAAGACTGTTAGAAAAGCATTCCAGGTGACTACCTCATGAAGCTGGTTGAGAGAATGCCAAGAGTGTGCCAAGCTGTCATCAAGGCAAAGGGTGGCTACTTTGAAGAATCTCAAATATAACATATATTTTGATTTGTATAACACTTTTTTGGTTACTACATGATTCCATATGTGTTGTTTCATAGTTTTAATGTCTTCATTATTATTCTACAATGTAGAAAATAGTAATAATAAAGAGAACCCCTTGAATGAGTAGGTGTGTCCAATCTTTTGACTGGTAGTGTATATATTTGAAGATATAAAAAATATAAATATTGATTTA